CTGAAGGCTGCAACCCTTGATCTTCCTCAGCAAGTGTAAGTCTTCCTCACTTTTAGCAAGTTAGCTTGTACATCTGTATATCATAAGTTGTTAATATGCCTTCCGCAAATCCTGATGCCACATTCTTCTACATATAACCCAAATTATATATTTATTTGCTCAGCATACAGATTGAAGAAGTATGTGAGAGGATGCAATCCTAATGCATTTATTTCCTGATTTAAAACCATGGAGTATTATTTTCTTCTGTTTGCACAACTGCCTCTTGATCCAAATGTAGGTTTGGCATAAGCACAAGGTAGTGTTCTGGGATTCCCATTCTTCTCAAGGCTATCCATAGTTTGTTAGGATCCACATAGTTGAATACCTTAGCACAGTCCAAAACACACAGGTAAATATCTTTCTGGTATTCTCTGCTTTCAGTTAAGATCCATATGATATCCTCAGTGATCTCCCTTATTCCCTGCCCTCTTCTGAATCTAGCAGAGCTTCTAGAAGCTCCCTGTCAAGGTACTGCTGCAACTGCTGCTGGATGATCTTCAGCAAAATGTTACTTGTATGTGTATTAATGTTCTTGTTTTATCATTTGAGCATTATTTTGGGTAACTTTTCTTTGTAATGGGTACAAATATGTATCTCTTCCATTTGGCCAAGTAGCTGTCTTTCAAATTTCCTGGTAAAAATGAGTGAGTGTTTCCAGTGTTTAGTCAGCTATTGAAACATTTCAATTGTTATTCCACCAATTCCTGGAGCATTATTTTTGGCTAATGCAGTCAGTGCAGCTTGAACTTCTTCCCTTTGGGACTATTGGCTCATATGCTACTTCTTGAAATGTCTGAATGTAGACCAGTTCTTTTTGGTACAGTGACTCTGTGTATTCTTTCCTTTTTCTTTTGATGCTTCCTGTAGTGTTCCATATTTGCCCATAGAATCTTTCAATATTACAACTCAAGGCTCGAATTTTTCCTGAGGTCTTTCATTTTAAGATGTGCTGAGCATGCTATTCCTTTTCCGTTTCCTAACTCTAGGCCTTTGCACATTTCATTATAATACTTTGCTTTGATTTCTCAAGCTGCCCTTTAAAATGTTGCTTAGCTCTCGACTTCATTACTTCTTCCGTGGTATTAAAATGGTCATAGCTACTCTACGATTAAGAGCAAGTTGCAAAGCCTCTACTGATATCCTCATTGATTCTCTCTTTAAAAAAAAAATCATTTTATTGGGGGCTCGTATAACTCTTATCACAATCCATCCATCCATCCATCCATTGTGTCAAGCACATTTGTCCATATGTTGCCATCATCATTCTCAAACTCTCTCTTTCTACTTGAGCCCTTGGTATCAGCTCCTCATTTTTCCCCTCCCTCCCCACTCCACCCTCCCCCAAGAACCCTTGTTTTCTTTTTAATGACCTTTTGCTTTCTTCACGTATAATGTTCTTGATGTCATCCCAGAACTCATCATGCCTTTTGTCATTCGTGTTCAATGTGTCAAATATGATCTTGAAATTCAGGTGGGATAAACTCAAGGTCATATTTTGGCTCTTGTGGACTTGTTTTAATTTTCTTCAGCTTCAACCTAAACTTACATATGAGCAATTTATGATCTGTCCCACAGTCAGCCCTGGCCTGGTTTTAGATACTCATATTGCGTTTCTCCATCATCTCTTTCCAAAGATACAGTCCGTTTATTTCTGTGTGTTCCCTCTGGAGAAGTCTACTTGTTTAGTTCCTTTTTGGGTTGTTCAAACAGGTATTTTCTGTGAAGAGACCATTGGTCTTGCAAAGTTCTGCCATATTATCTCAGGTGTCATTTCTATCACCATATTTCTCCATCTGCTGTTCCTTCATCTTTCTTTCCAACTTTTGCATTCCGAAAGCCAATAATTATCAATGCGGCCTGATTTTACGTTTGATCAACTTCAAATGGAAGATGTTGGGAAAATTCTTCAACTTCCTCATCACTATCTTTAGTGATTGGTGAGTAATAGTTATAATGTTTGGATTTCCTTGTATGCGAATATATTTATAATCTTATCACAGCATTTACTGCAAGCTAGATCTTGAAATGGCCTTTTGATGATGCATACAACACCATTCCTTGTGATTCTTTCATTTCCTTCATAGTAAGCCATATGATTTTATAATTTGAAATGGCTGTTACCATCCATTTCAGCTCACCAATGCTTAAAATATCAATTTTTATGTGTCGTGTTTTATTTTTTACAACTTCCAATTTTCCTAGATTCATACTGCAGACATTCCAAGTTCCAGATATTGATTTTTAGAGCTATTTCTTCTTATTGTGAGTCCTGCCCCATCAGCAAATGAAGGTCCCCAAGACTTTCCTCCCACAGGCTTTACTCCATCCATGTGTTTATGGCTTACTTGGCTTGTAGAAGGCATCTCTTTTTCAATTATATTGTGAGTGTCGTCCTGCCTGGAGGGCTTATCTTCTGGCACCATCTCTAACAATCTTCTGCCTCCATTCATTAGGCTTTCAGTATCTGACAATGTTTCAATTCTCTCCATAAGATTGTCAGTGGATAATTCCTCAGAAGTAGACAGCCTACTCCTTCTTACAGTCCTTTCTTAGTCTGGAAGCTCTACTGAAGCCTATTCACTTTGAGTGACCTTGCTGGTATTTCAAATATCGATGACATAACTTCCAGCATCACAGCAACACACTAGCCACCCAAATTCGACAAACTGATAGACAATTGGTAGTTCTAAACTAGGAGACACCTAAATCTTATCTCCAAACTAGTGACGAAGTTGAACAAGCAGCACCAGAGATTAGGCACTATTTTAGGGCATGGAGAATATTTTTCTGTGGAGAATTGAATCAGAGTACTGTAGTTGACCAGTTGGAGGTGTCCACAGAAAACAGTCAAGATATGGTAAGGGGAGGGAACTTGAAGTCGTGTCATATAGTGGCTACCTGAGCAAATTAACCTGGTGCTGCATTGAAGAATCTAGGTGGTAGTACAAAAAGGACATGGATCTGAGAGTGTTGATTAAAATGGTATTTCTATTCCTACATGGAGGAAGATGGGGCTTGCTGATCCCATAAGGAGTTATAGTCTTGGAAATCCAGGGTTCAGTTCTATCCTGTCCTCTGTGGTCACTGTGAGTTGGCATCAACTCAATAGGAGCTTTTCTTCCCATTTAGCTGTGGAACATTGGAATACTTGAATCTCTTTAGACTTCAGTTTCCTAATCTACTGAATTAAAATTATAGATCTAGATGAGCTAAAGTTTTCTTTAAAGGCTTAAATAGATTTTTTTAACGATCCACATTAAGTATCTTCACATTTGTCAAAAGCTCTCACATGGAAGAGGGATTAGACAGAAACTGTTTACTATCTAAGGACAAAACAGTGCATGAGGGATTGCAAGGGAGAACATTTCAACTTTATGGACAACGTAGTGAGATGGACTACTTGGGAGTGGGAAGAGCAATGTTAAGCACTCAGGAAGCTGAGAGGACCGATTTGATGAAGTAGAAGAGAAGTATAAATTACAGGAAGTGGTTGCTTTGTCGATAGGCTGGTCTTTTTCAGTTCAGAGACCCTTGGTTTCCCTCTTCTTTGGGAGAACATCTGGAGTGTATTTGGGAAGCCACAAAGGCCAGGGCATGCCAGTCTTAAATGGCACGGGCCGTCCTCCGTGCTAGAAGTGGTCCACGATGGTTTTTTGGTGTTTGCTGTCTAGGTATCATCCTAATAGGCAGAAGAGTATGCATCCTATCAGCCATACTGTTGAACCCGATGTTACCTAAACTAACCAAATAAATCTTCTTAGTTTTGCTGAAAAGTGAGAGTTGAAAGAGGGCCCCTGAAGTTGTCTCGTGAAGCTATTGTCTTCCTTCCAAAGGCTTGGGAGTTTGTTTTGGTCACATCCTTGAAGTCCTCTAACACCATCTTCACACTTACAAGATTCCCTTCATGTTTGTTCCCAGAGACATCTCTCACAAGCAACATCAGGCTCAAGACGCCCCAGTGGCATGTCATGCGAACACAGAGCTAATCAGTATTGATTCCTTGGGCCATTGTGGCAGAAGGACAGTCACTACCACCAGCACAGTTGCACTAACGTAATGGATACACCAGTGGGAATTTCCAGTGAGAAAACTGTACATCAGATATGAGAGCCAGGGGGGGAAGGGGTGAGTTGGGGTACAGTGTCATGGGGGAAGAAACTCTCATTGGTTCGAGGCTAGTTACCGTGAGGGTGTCCGCTAGTGTTCGCACATGTATTGAAAGCCCTCTGTGAAATGCCAGCCCTCCATCCTCTCCAACCTGGGATCTTTCTGTTCATTTCACACAGTGCAATAACCCTGGATTTAGACTCCTGCCTGTGGAGTCGGGTCTCTGCCTATTGGACACATTTCGCAACTCTCAGTAGTATGGGTGGAGCAACATTTAGGAAGAATTAAGAAGCATGTGCACATAGCTGGGGCGAAGTGCTAAGCCACAATTTCCACCTTTCTTAGCAAAAATTGTCGTCATATACTCCCACTGTCTCTCTTGTCTCTCCCACCTCCACCCTTTAATCCACCTTCTGTTTTGAATAATCATGGTTAACACTTAATGAGGGTTTACCATCCACCAGGTCTTATGGTAAGTGCTTAGCACAAGTTATCTCATTTGTTTCTTCATAAGCCTTTAGGAGTATTTTGCAATAAATTTAAAATCCTCCTTTTTGCAGGTGGAGAAAAGAATTGAGATTCGAAAAAGGTCAGCCAAAGGCAATAGACTGCACTCAAATACACTGCCTTCATTTCAGAGCCTCCTCTTATTTTTCACATTACTCATATGTGAAAGCTTGGATGAGTTTATTGTGTAATCGAATGCTTTTGAGAGGTGCACATTGGCAATGACATCTGCCTATCAATCCACCTGTTTCTCTGCAGGCCGCGGTGTCTCTGCCTACGTCACCGTTTTGTTCTTGGTATGCCGTCCTCATTCTTTTCATCTTCTTCTTGTTTTCTCTTCACAGGTACCTGATCAATGTCACTTTTGAGGGGAGGAATCTGTCCTTCAGTGAAGATGGCTACCAGATGCACCCGAAACTGGTGATAATCCTTCTGAACAAGGAGAGAAAGTGGGAGAGGGTAGGACATGTCTTTGGCAATTCTCAAGAAAAGTAGTGGGGTAGGGATGTAACATTTTACTACACCCTGAAGGGAAGCCTGCCCTTGGTTTGGGTTTCTAGAGCTGATGCACACTAGATGAATATTATGAGAACCCAGGACCAGTCATTTCTCAAGCTTGGAGCTTCATTTTCCTGCTACATTGGTTAATCAAGAGGTTGTTTTCTTTAAGTGTATGACCATTTACTGTTGGCTCTATTGATGCCTGGATCATGACTGTCTTTTCAGGGTACGATGCCTTCAAGTACAATATCAAATATTTTTTATGATTAAGCCGCATGGGAAGTACAGTTTAGAAGCTGTTCTAGGCAATATAGTGCAGAGGCTTCTTGAGCCTCATTTGTGGGCAGACAGGCTTACGTTTAAGGTGATGGTCTTGTCACCATGTCAGGTCCTTCTCAGCGTCTCTCTCCATGTCAGCTAACCTCATTGTGTGCAATTCCACCATGAACAATGAATGGCTGTTTTAACTCATAATGACCCTCTATATTCTGAGGCTGCAAATCTTTCCAGGAACAGACAGACCCATCTTTCTCCCACCGAGTGGCTGATGGTTTGCATCACTCGCCTTGCAGTTAACAGCCCAATCCTTATGCCACGGTGAAAAGAGGGCGCCTATGTAGAACCTACAAATCCCTGAACTCTCCTCTGTCTCTGTCTCCTCGTCTGTAACATGAGAAGAAGAATAGTACTGACATCACAGAACGGTCACCAGGATTAAATAATTCGTATATGTAAAGTGCTTAGGAAGGTATATGGCATATAGTTAAACCAGAAAACAAGACTCGATGCCACCAAGTGGATTCAAACTCACGGTGACCCTGCAGAACAGGGCGGAACTGCGCCTGTGGGTTTCTGAGACCATACATCCTTAGAGGAATAGAAAACAACATCTAGCTCTGTAAAGTGAGACATGTTTTGAAACTGACCTTGCAGTTAGCAGCCCAATGCTTAACCAACCTATTATGCCACCGGGTACATAGCGAGCAATTAATAACTGTCCGCTGCTGTTATTCTAGATTCTCAATTAAATATAACTATTCCAGAGAGTAATTTTGTTACCAGTATATCTCTAACTATGTCCTGAGGAGCTCTTGTGCCTTGAAATGCTTTGCTGGAAATGAACAGTCCTGTCAATATGTGAGATACGGTGATACTACCTACTGCTCCCCCTCTTGCAGATTCTCAGAGCTTGCTCACATTGGAAAGTTCTGAGGTGTCTTATAGCGGAAAAGACAGCATTAGTTTTGCTCAATCTGGAACTTCCCAAACTTATTTCAGCACAAGACGCCCTTGTTCATGAAATGTCATGGGCTGTGAAAACACCTGTTGGAAAAAAAAGATGAAGAAAATTTTTTTCAGACTCCGTGGGTCCATTGACTTCAAGGTGTCGGCATCATTCTGACTTTAGTGGAAGCCAGGCTCTGTATGTTCAGAGGGAGTATCCAGGGAAAGCGATCAGAGTTAGGCATCTTGAAAGCCATCATTTCACCAGAGTGCCCCGGACACATAAGAAGGCTCACAGGTGAAATGGGCATGTGTAGCTCAGGGAGTAGAAACCAGGCCCTTGTCCTTCAAATAGCAAGGCCTCAATCTGTCATGCATGTCTGCTGAGTAGGACGCAGCAGTCCAGCTATAATTGTGCCTGGTGTTTTTGATAGAAGTTGCCCTCTCTCCGCTGAGTTATTGTTTGTTCGGAGGTGGGAGTTCCCCCGGCTCCTCTCCATCCCAATCAAGTCACTGTTTCCTTCTGCTGTGGAAGCGTCATGTAAGAAGTGTTCTGGAAGCCTTGTGTCTAACAGGCACTTCTGTGTGCCTGCAGAAGAGGAGTTATTAATAACTAGGTCTTTAGACGTGCTGTCCAGCCACCATAGTGAAGTAGGCTCAAGGTTACTGCTCAAGTAGGAGGCATCCCTCAACTGCCCTCTTTTTAAAAGATGCCACCCTCCATGCTGCTGACTTCTCTCCCTTTGGCTGGGGTGGAGACCTGGGAATTCCACTTCTTTTCCAGAAAGATCTAAATTCCGTTGGGATTTGGATACCTCTACCCCTTATCAAACCTTCTTTTACTCTAGCTGTTGAGTTTATTCCCCCTTTTTTATATGACCCAAGAACATGGGTGAGTTGCTGCTAAGAACCATTGAGTTGGTTCCAATTCAGAGTGACTTCATGCACCACCGTCCAATTGTTATGTTTGACCCCTTTGCTGCAGCCACTGTGTCAGTACACCTCTTGAGGGTGTTCTTTTTGTCACTGCCCCTTGACTTTACCAGGCACGGTGTCCTTTTCCAAGGATTTGGTATCGTATATCCTAAGTGTGTCAGATAAGTCTCAAGGAGCATTCAGGCTGTACATCTTCCAAAACAAATAAAAACCAAAACCACAACAAACTCACGGCGATTGAGTCAGTGCTGTCACAGTGCGACCCCCTGTGCGTTTCTGAGACTGCAGCTGTTTATGGGAGGGAAAAGCCCAGTCTTTCTCCCACCATGAAACTACTGGTGATTTCAAAATGCCAACCATGCGGATTGCTGCCCAACACGTAACCAAACACCAGGTGTTTTGTTATTGCTGTTCTTCTGGAAGTCTATAATATATTTATAACTCTTCACCAGCACCATAATACAAGTGCATCATTTCCTCTCAAATATTTCATATTCATTATCCATCTTTCACACGCATATGAGGCAATGGTAAAATACCCTGGCTTGGGTCAGGTGCGCCTTAATCCTCACAGTAGCAGCTTTGCTCTTTAACTCTTTCAATAACTTTGGTGCCGCAATCTGCCCTATGGGGGTTTGGCATCATCAATAGATAAAGATCCCAGAAGTGTTGCTCCATCCACATCATTAAGGTCAACTCTACTTTAAGGAGAAAGGTCTTCCCAGTCATATTTTGAGTGTCTTACAACCTGAAGAAGCCCTGGCGATATATTGGTTATGTGTTGGCTTGTGATCCACATGATCGCCAGTTCGAAACCTCCAGAAGCTCCGTGGGAGAAAGACTGGGCTTTCTACTCCTATAAACAGTTACTGTCTCTGAAATCCACAAGGGGTTGCCATGAGTCAGCAGTGACTCCATGGTGGGGAGCTTGATGGAGAGTTTCCAAAGTGAGGGCTTGGATTCCATCATGATACCAGACAGTGTTCTCCTTCTGTTCCTAAGTGTTTAATGGCGAGGCCCGCAGACTTCTTCCTCCCCAAACAAAACGAAGCAAAACTCACTGCCACGGAGTTCATGCCAACCCACAGTGACCCTATTAGATGGGGTAGAATTTCCCCTCTGAGTTTCTGAAACTGTAACTCTTTGTTTAAACCATTTTCTTGCTCTTATCACAATCCATCCATCCATCCATCCATTGTGTCAAGCACATTTGTACATTTGTTGCCATCATCATTTTCAAAACATTTTCCTTCTCCGTGACCCCTTGGTAACAGCTCCTCATTTTTCCCCTCCCTCCCTCATAACCCTTGATAATTTATATTATGATTATTTTTCATGTCTTACATGAGACTGTAACTCTTTACAAGAGTAGAAAGCACAGTCTTTCTCCCATGGAGGATCTTTCTCCCATGGTTTTGAACTCCTGGCCTTGTGTTTATCAGCCCACCACATAACACCTGTGCCACCAGGACTCCTTACTCCTTCTTCCTTGTGTGTGCTTCTTCTGGAATCCCCACTGAAACGTGGCCACTGCGGTGACTCTGCTGCCATTTGAAACGCTGGTAGTGCAGCCTCTAGTACCACAACAACATGCAGAACACCACAGTAAGACAAACCGAAGAGCAGTGGCCAAGAACATGCCATGATTTTTAAAAAGACATCATCCCTTTCCCTGCCCCTGCCATTGATCCATCCTGACCAGTCAGACAGACCCTGGAATGGGTTTCCTAAAACACCACTCTGATGATAGTCTTTCTCTGTCCCCAACTCTGTCCAAAGTTTTTGTGGTTAATGGATTGGGTTCAAATCTTATTCCTATATTCCAGACTGACCTTCTCCTCCTCCCATTTTCCCATCTCACCTTCGAGCTCATTTACCTCCCCTCTCTTCTGAGAGTGTGCCCCCTGTTTGTTCTGCCCCCTGTACAATGTGCCATGATGTTTCCTTTTCCTAGAAAAAGTTTTCTAATTATATCAAGCATCACCATCATTTGACATCCAATTAAAATGCCACTGCTTCCTTGCCTCACCTTTGACCTAGATTTAACTCCTCATCCCCTTGTCCTCCATAGTTTTGTCCACCCCTCTGTTGCATGCCCTTCACATCCACCTTGTGCTGGAGTTGTGTGTGTGTTTCCAGAGGGCAAAAACTGCGCCCTGTTTTCCTTGTGTCCCTCCCAGCACCCAGGAGAGCATAATGCACAGAGTTGGTCAAGAAATAGTTGTCAAATGAATGAGGACTATTACATAACAAAAGCCTCTAAGGTTTGCGAAGAATCTAAGTTTCGACTATTGCATTTGATGATAGCTTTTTTTTTTTTTTAAGGGAAATAACATCGTTATGTAGATTGGGTTTTTACAGACCATAATTTTAAAGTACTGAGGGAACTTGCTATTAAAAGCAATCTGTGGTTAATCTTTTTGTAAAGGCTCTTGGCAGGAGTTGGGAGTGGTAGAACAGAACACTTCCATACTGACTTGGGTAAATCACTTAAAACATTTCTGGAGAGATTTTCAGTGTCCCTTGAGTTCACAGAGATGCTTAACTCCTGAACTTGGAAGCCCTTGTGGGGCTTGCTTGTTTCAGGGAGTGTGGCATGAACCAGTCACGGCTCCAGGCCATGTGGGGTGAAAGTATAATACCCTGGGTTGTTACACCGTGTCTTTCACTGTTACCTTTGCCCCCATGCCCTCTGCATTCTTCACATCCCCAATACCACTCAAGAAGTTTCCCATGACGGGAGTCTGCAGTCTCATGAGTGACAGGCGTGAGCATGGAGACGATACAAGGAGGACCGG